GTTATAGACAGGTAGCATATTCTCCTCATTTTTTTTTTAAGACCTTGAGTGTTGGTCCGGCCAGGGCTTGAACCCTCGACCTCCCACACAACAGTCCAGCGCTCTATCCATTGAGCCAACCGGGAGGCGATTGTGTATGTATATGTATCTGACATATGAACTCTCTGACTCCCAAGATCTCGTTAGTAATTCTTCTAACTGTCTATCATACAATTCTCACGATGCTACGTCCAAAAATTTGGTATTGTATGACAACTAAATTAATGATCCCCTAATTGCTTATTTTTCTTTATTCTCGTCACGTTTCTGCTTGGTATTGTATTGATATTGTAAGGAGAAATTCTAGCTTGGTCACTCATGGGAGTTACAAGGGATACCAATAAATTTCATTTACCTCAAAGTCCTGAATGTGTTGCTCTACCAGGTTACTTTTGTGTACAACAACCACAGGGCGCCCAATTGTATCCAGATAGGTCAAATGTAGTTCACGTTTTCCTTCCTTCATCTCATAAGGGGCCTTCAATTGAATGTCTCTAAAGAAACAAAAAGCTGTTAAGAATGCATGTAGCTACTGCTACCACACCTCTCAACAGGAGGCAGTAGCCAAAAAAAGATAAACAGCTAATATATCAACATCATGGACAATGAAATCATGAAATAAATATATCTTATTAGACATTTTGTTGTGTAGTATCACAAGTATTTTAACGAGTTGTGCTATATTTTGATGAGCCCGAAGGCAAGTCAAAATACAAATAACTCGTAAAAATACTCAGCGATACTACAAAACAAAATGTCTAATAACTTATTTATTATCCAACACGCCAAACTGTTGGTGCGGGTGAATTTTGAGGATACTTATTTACGGGGAGTGCATGACAGAAGTATGCGAAGCGGAAGGGAATTGGCGCATTGTTGTGTTGCTGTTTCTATTTTCTTCAATAAATCAAGAAATTTCCTGGTCGTCTAGCTGTTTTTCTTCATTTGATTCATCTAATAAACTTGGATCAATATATGACAGCCATTCTGACTCTTCGTGGTTGGAAATATGATTCAAATTGTCTGCCATTTTTTTTTAAACTTATTCGCCTCTTGCGTGATGTGAGAAAACCTGTTTAACTGGTACTCTAGAGTATAAATACTGTGTGATATTTGTACTCGTCTATAGTATTATTTGTACTCTACGAAGTGTAGTTGGATAATAATGAGCATTAATTTGTTCCTCTGTCCAATTCAAGTAACAAAATAATAAACAATTATTAGATGAGGTTTGTGATATCCGGAATAATCAAGGTCTCGGTTAGTTACCTTGACCTTGATTATTCCGGCTATCACAAAAACTGAATCCAATAACTGTTGTATTATATATTGTTTTAAAGAAAATAACGCGAAATGCATTATCGCAGCGAACACAGTTTATTTCCGAACACTTAAAAATGTACTACTGTGTGGTAAACAAATTTTCATTGTTTTTATAAAACAATCTAGTGCAGAAGAGTTAAATGCATTTCTAAAGAAAGTATCAATGAAGTAAACTGTAGATCTTTTAGTATTTTCAGAATCTTCATCTTCAAGTAATTTCTCAATTTTTCGCTGGGTTGATGAAGTGAATCGAGAAGCCATTCTTACTTCACCGTTCGTGAACTTGACATTGCTCCACCGGAAATCATGCATTGCCC